CTAGGAGGTCTTGTGGTTCTGTGCCTGGGGATGGGTTGTTGTGAACTGTTGTTTCAAAGCTAAAAGACTTTGAATAAGGACAATAGTAAGCGATACATGCGTATGGTAGTTCTGAAAAAAGATTGTTGAAGATGTATAACCAATAATCTTTTTGCTCTGTCTGCCTTGTTTGTAAACAAATTCTGTAGACATAAATGGAGGAGGCAAAAATTGTACTGTTGTATCTTGTAGAGGTAGTATTAATGAGTTTTTGCATGATTTTCCTGTTTTATAGTTAACTCGAGTTTTAGCACAAAAAACTTTTGAATCAATATTTGAGTTTTTTGATCTTGTATATAATTTTGGTTGTCCTGTCTCTTTTTTAATCAATTTAAGGTCCATTTTTGGAGTCGGGTGCTATCTAAACGTTGTCCGAACAAGGGAAGAGGTGCTACAAAAAAGTTCAACTCTAGTCGTAAGAGTTTATTAATGTTTTGTATCTTGATATCTATCTTTCAGATGTTGTTGCAGTTTTATGGGGAACTTATTCAAAATTAAATGCTGATTTTCAATGATAATGATATTAGGTAAAGAGTTTATGGCAGTTTTATTGAATTTGAACTAGAAGAGAGATCGATTCGGTTGTTAGCTAAGATTGGTTTGCCGTGTGGAAACGTGTAAGTCATCCAATACGCAAGTCTGTATGAAGGGGTTGGGGGTAGAATGAGTTTTCTTTTATTTGTTGGGAAGTTCGAGTTTAACCTAGGTCGTCTGTTGGGAGATTTGCTGTACTGCGTGGTGAACTTTTAGGTGGAGGGGTGTTTTCTATAGTTGTTGGTAGGCTTGAGGAAGTAGAAGGCGCAAGTGGTGAGTTTATGTTGAATTGTACCCGAGGTGTTGTTAAATTCTAATTACTTCGTGGATAAATCAAGTGTCTTTCGATTGGAGGCTTTTGGTTTTGACTATGACTTCGAGATCTATTTAGTTTTTGTGATAACGCTGGTTAAAGATTATAGGTTGGTTTGTGTTTTAGTTTCTGTTAATGGTGCGTCATGGTGTGCTGGATTTAACGGTTCTGACAAAGGTGCTGGTCTTTTCTAAAAGGTATATGGAACTTCAAAACTTGATATGCGGCTAGAATCTTGAGAAAGGGTCGACTGTATGTTTGAAATATCGATCGTGCGGGGTTCTTGGTTCGGTTTCTGGGACGAGTTAACAGATGGGGAATCTGTTATGTGAGTTTGATCAGCCATTTCGATATAATTTTTCTGTAATTTTGTCAGTTGAATTCAAGTTGTTCTTGAGTGTAGTCCCTGACATGGGTGATTTTAAAAATGGTTGCTAGTTGAAGGACAATTATTGCATTGTTAAGACATTTAAAAAGTGCTATTCTTGGTGATGCTACTACAAGAAGGAAGATTATAAAAAGTTTAAGGAGTTCTATTTCGCTAAAAATTTAAATCTTCATTCAAAGGAAAGATATTGGTTATTGTCTTACCTGAGTGGGTGTCGATGATTTGGGAGAAGACAAGATGGTTTTGCAAAAAAAGTGGATATGTGAAATGAGAATAAAAAATTGTAAAAATACTATTATAAATACTAGTTTAAAAAATTGCAAAATGTAACTTGAAAATTTGAACAATTGATTTGATGTAAGAGTTCAAAAAGTGATTTAAGTTTTCCGAAACTTTTTTTATTTTTTCGGAGTTGCATCGAGTGGGGTCGGATTGTTTTTTAATTTTTCAGGGAAATTTTGATGGAGACCAGTCATAGGGATCTGGAATTGAATTGTTGGTTCTTGTTTTTTCTTATAGGATGATCAAGTATCTTTTTGAGGCTGGGGGTTGGGGGTTGAATGGCTATATGATCCATAGGCTATAACATTGTAAGCTATAAGATCCTCTGAAGTTTAAGTTTTTTTAAAGCTAGTTTTCTTTTATTATTTGGGGGAATTTTTGGGGTCTAAACTCATTCAGTATTTTTGTATTGAGTGATATAAGGTGATTTTTGTTTTGATATAAAAATTGCTTAGGTTCTCAATTATAAAGGTTTTGCTTGTGTCTGATCTGAAGATTTTTAAGTTGAAGTTCAAGTTTTAGTTCAATTTTGGATTTGATTATTTGATTGAACGGCGCTGGCGCATAGAAAGTGAAAGAAAATGGAGATTGGTGACTGGCTGAATGTTTTATTGTTTTTTTTTCTGAGAAATTAAAATTTCATTAAAAAAATTATTTCAATGAAAAAACTTTTATTTGGATGTTAATGCGACCTTTGAATTTATGTCAAGTAATCGCATATTCGTGAATGTGTTTGTTTATTACTCAGTTGGGTTATGAATTTCTACTTGCTTCAAAATGTTTGCTTGTGTGGTAAACAATTATGATCTTCTCTTGGTTGAATTCGGAGTCAAGGTGATTAGCGTTATTTTGATTTTTTTGTTTCAGTTATTGATATTTTCTTTTATAATTTTTGATTTGTCCATTGGTTAGTAGTGTTGATTATAATGTATTTTTCTGTTTTGTCTTTTTGTTGTGTCATTGGTTTTGTAATCTTTTTGAATAGTCCGTCGTTTTTTTATTTACGGTCTCTTGTTGCATTTCGACTATAGGGAGTGCAGTAAAAGAATATAAATGGGTAAATTCTCGGAGAGCGTAGTCTTTTGGGTCATATGGTAGGAGATTATTTCAGTGTTTTTAAAATTGTTTTTAATTTTGGTCGAACAATTTATATGTTACGTCTGTGGGTTTATCAAAAAATTGGTATAGTTCTTTCTTCAAATGATAACTTTTCTAAAAACATCTTTGTGTATTGTGAAGTTTGGACTTTCATTATATGCGAGAGTTAATAATTTTACCTCTTTTAGCCATTTTTTACCATTTCCGATATAAATTCATTGTAAAATTTTCTGGAGTGAACGGTTCAAGACTTCGACTAATCCATTAGTCAATGAATCATGTGAACTTCTTGGTTTTTGTTTAATATCATATAAAGAACTAATTGTAATTATTTCAATTGTAATGAATTTGGTTCCACTTTCCTTGACAAGGATTTCCGGTGATGCAAATATGGCTGTGCTCATGATGTGTGGTATATTTATAACAAACTTTACAATGTAGAATTGAGTTTAGAGTTACATAAGGTGTAAATGCGTACACAATGACCATGTTAGATTAGTTTCCATCGGATGATGGTCATATAGGGCCTTTTATATCGAACAAGTTTCTGTGGTCTAATTCTTAACCATGTCCTTCAAAGTCTTGTTTCTCTACAATTTGTCTTTGGC